GAACACTCGCACCGGCGGGGCCAGCAGCAGCCACAGCCTTTGTCCAGCGTGAGGGGGTGCAACATCACCGCATGGCGCCATGTGAGCAGCAAGTAAACGCAACACACGCCAAACAACCGCGCACACCACACGTACGCACGCGCATACAAGGCAATGCACACGTTCCTGTACATACGCAGCACACACACACGCACACACAAGAGCACGCACAAACACACACATATACACAAAGACACACGCACACACACACACACACGCACACACACACACACACACGCACACTGACACGATCACGCACATCGGCACATCCGACACACGCTTGTGTCAACAAACGCATGAAAAACTGACCACTGGAGTGTCTGTGCGGTTAATGCTGGCTGGTGGGATGGCGCCATCGAGAGCGTCGGTGGCAGTGACAGTCGGATATGGAAACGGGGTTGCCCCCTCGTGCATCACCGTCGTGTTCCACGCAAATGGTACACCAGCGAACACAGCAGCGAGGACCTGGTGATTCGACACAGCGTCCCATGAGGTGGTGACTTGGAATGAGACGGCGAGCCAACAAGGGAGCCAACGTGAATCGCGCGCACACACACACACACACACAGACACACAGACACACAGACACACACACACATACACACACACACGCACGCAGACACACACAGACACATACACACACACACACACACGCAGACACACACACATACTGGCGGCATTGTGTCGGCGACGATGACAGTGCGCGGTGTTGGTGGGAGGGCGTTGCCTGCTGCATCGGTCACATCCGACCAGTACAGAGCAGAGTACTGGCCAGGCTCGTCCAGCACCACGCCGGAGGTGTCCACGCGTATCGCCGTGGGCAGTGGGGTGATGTCGCCATCAACCGCGTCGTGAACAGCAATGTTTGACACGAGAGTGGCCGGACGAGGGAGGGTGGCGGCCTCCAGCACCAGCGCGGGCGGCATGAACACGAAGAAAGGTGGCGTGGTGTCCACGACGACGATGATGACGGTGCGTTGCACCACTGGCACTCCATCGCGCATGACGGCGTACGCGATGGTCTGGTCGGCCGATGGGAACGCTGACTCGTGCGGTCATAGTGTGTGTGAGTGAGTGAGTGAGTGTGTGAGTGAGTGAGTGAGTGAGTGAGTGTGTGAGTGAGTGAGTGAGTGAGTGTGTGAGTGAGTGAGTGAGTGTGTGTGTGTGTGAGTGAGTGAGTGTGTGTGTGAGTGGGTGTGTCGAGAATGGGGCGAGAACTGACGCAAAGCCTGCTGCGAACAGTGGCGTTGAAGTTTCATTGTCTTGTTCGCTGCAATCTGCGCAAACAAACGCACGCGCACACAAACACAAACGCACATGTTCCACAACAACGACCACGACTACGACCACAGCGACGTGCACATACACAAGCGCTTACCGATGGAGATGCTGTTGGTGGTTGACATGGCAGGTTGCACGAATACAATGCTGGTGTTTGGCGGCAGCGATGGCTGCAGCTGTCCTACAGGGGGCACGAATTGGCCGTTTGCATTTGCTTCCACGACAAAGCGGTTGGACGGAATTGTGGATCCGTTGTCCGGTCGAAGCAGCACAATGCGCAGCTCTGGTATGGTACGACAACACAGTCAGTGACATTCATCGGGGCATTATGCGTGTATGCGTGCGTGTGTATGCGTGTACGTACGCGTGTGTCTGTGTGTGTATGCGTGTACGTATGCGTGTGTGCGTGTGTGTGTGTGTGTGTGTGCGTGTGTGTGTGTGTGTGTGTGTGTGTGTGTGTGTGTGTGTTCATATTAATGAATGAGGGGCGCAAAAACAAGGGCTGAAAAACGACTGACCTTCACATGCGCGGTCTTGTGTCAATGTACATGGTCGAACTTCGACTTCATCCCCTGCACACGCCCTGCAAGCCTGACATTGCCTGAAACGTGTTCAAGCACATGTTGTTACATTACACCAACCGGAGCACGCGAAGAACGGTTGCGTGACGTGAGTGTCATGCGTGGACGGATGGTGAAACAGGCAAGCTGTGCTCTACCTTGGTGCAACCCCCTTTCCATGCTCGAAATTAACTAACCCCCCCCCAAACACACACACACACACACACACACACACACACACACACACACACACACACACACACACACACACACACACACACACACACACACACACACACACACACACACACACACACACCTGTTTGAAGTGGAGGCTGGCGATGCCAGTTCGAATTGCGTAACGTTGCAATGGCGGATTGGGCGACAAACGCGGTCGCTGGTGGCAGTGGATTGCGCAGCCTGCACAAGGATACCAACCCGAGCCAGCAACAAGAGCAGCAGTAACAGCACCACCAGGCGCAGCCAGCGTACCAAAACGTATAGGAGTGGCATGACGTGATAAGTCAGGACACAATTGAAGCAACAAGCCCAATACGGACCAGCACGCACAAAGTGTTGAACAACCACATACACACACACACACACACATGTATAAAAGTATGTGCAACCACACACACACACACACGCAAACACACAATATGCATACACACGCAAACACGTACACACGCATACGCGATATGCAAACAAACAAACAAACACACACACACACACACACATCACGCACCTCATACTCGGTGCTGCCGACGTCACAGGGTGCAGATATGTTTGCACACACACGATCATGAAACCGGGTCGGCGGTTGCTGTTCAAACTGAGACGGTGTACACGGCGTCAAAGCAGCACACGCACGATCAGTGCTGCTGGTGCCGTCGCCCAAGATATATTGCTCGGTCAGCACGGCACACGTGCGCCAGTTGACGCACGACCCTGCACCATCCGCGGTGACGTTGCTGAACGTGCCATGTCCACACGCGACACAAACGCGGTCGGTTGTCGGCGTTGGCGGCTGCTCCTCGACAAAGCCCGGGCGGCACAGTGTTGTGTTGAGGCACATGGTCTGGCCACCAAGCGGCTGGTAGTGTGAGGGTGGCGCACACGGCTGGCAGCTCTGGGATCCCGACGTGCCCGGGGCACACTGCAGCTCCTCGCAGGGCCCAGCGTTGGCGGTGGTGTTGGTGATGGCAAACGGGCACGCCATGCAGGCGGTGGTGCCATCTCGGTCGTGGTCGGTGGTTCCCTGTGGGCAAGGGATGCATTCCC